ACACATTGCTGACCAGAGACATAATGAGGATCTCTGTCTTTGAATGTCTTAGTGCCTATTAATGTCTGTGTAGCTGCTGTTTAAAATTGCTTCCTGAACCAAAAGGCCTGCATAGAATCATAGAATCCTAGAGTTGGAAGAGACCTCATGGGCCATCCAGTCCAACCCCCTGCCAAGAAGCAGGAATATTGCATTCAAATCACCCCCGACAGATGGCCATCCAGCCTCTGTTTAAAAGCTTCCAAAGAAGGAGCCTCCACCACACTCCGGGGCAGAGAGTTCCACTGCTGAACGGCTCTCACAGTCAGGAAGTTCTTCCTCATGTTCAGATGGAATCTCCCTTTCTTGTAGTTTGAAGCCATTGTTCTGCGTCCTAGTCTCCAAGGAAGCAGAAAACAAGCTTGCTCCCTCCTCCCTGTGGCTTCCTCTCACATATTTATACATGGCTATCATATCTCCTCTCAGCCTTCTCTTCTTCAGGCTAAACATGCCCAACTCCTTAAGCCACTCCTCATAGGGCTTGTTCTCCAGACCCTTGATCATTTTAATCACCCTCCTCTGGACACATTCCAGCTTGTCAATATCTCTCTTGAATTGTGGTGCCCAGAATTGGACACAATATTCCAGATGTGGTCTAACCAAAGCAGAATAGAGGGTAGCATTACTTCCCTGGATCTAGACACTATGCTCCTATTGATGCAGGCCAAAATCCCATTGGCTTTTTTTGCCGCCACATCACATTGTTGGCTCATGTTTAACTTGTTGTCCACGAGGACTCCAGATCTTTTTCACACGTACTGCTCTCGAGCCAGGCATTGTCCCCCATTCTGTATCTTTGCATTTCGTTTTTCCTGCCAAAGTGGAGTATCTTGCATTTGTCCACTGTTGAACTTCATTTTGTTAGTTTTGGCCCATCTCTCTAATCTGTCAAGATCGTTTTGAATCCTGCTCCTGTCCTCTGGAATATTGGCTATCCCTCCCAATTTGGTGTCGTCTGCAAACTTGATGATCCTGCCTTCTAACCCTTCATCTAAGTCATTAATAAAGATGTTGAACAGGACCGGGCCCAGGACGGGACCCTGCTTGTGGCACTCCGCTCGTCACTTCTTTCCAGGATGAAGAGGAAGCATTGGGGAGAATCACCCTCTGGGTTCGTCCACTTAACCAATTACAGATCCACCTCACCGTAGTTTTGCCTAGCCCACATTGGACTAGTTTCCTTGCCAGAAGGTCATGGGGGACCTTGTCGAAGGCCTTACTGAAATCCAGGTACGCTACATTCAGAAAATTGCATTGGATAGATCACATCAGCTCTAGTTTCTGATACAGAACAAATGCCATCCAGTACAATTAAGAGAGATATTGACAAGCTGGAATGTGTCCAAAGGAGGGCAACTAAAATGATCGTCTGGAGAACAAGCCCTATGAGGAGCGGCTTAAGGAGCTGGGCATGTTTAGCCTGAAAAGAGAAGGCTGAGAGGAGATATGATAGCCATGTATAAATATGTGAGGAAGCCACAGGGAGGAGGGAGCAAGCTTGTTTTCTGCTTCCTGGAGACTAGGACGCGGAACAATGGCTTCAAACTACAAGAAAGGAGATTCCATCTGAACATGAGGAAGAACTTCCTGACTGTGAGAGCTGTTCAGCAGTGGAACTCTCTGCCCCGGAGTGTGGTGGAGGCTCCTTCTTTGGAAGCTTTTAAACAGAGGCTGGATGGCCATCTGTCGGGGTGATTTGAATGCAATATTCTTGCTTCTTGGCAGGGGGTTGGACTGGATGGCCCATGAACATGAGGAAGAACTTCCTGACTGTGAGAGCCGTTCAGCAGTGGAACTCTCTGCCCCGGAGTGTGGTGGAGGCTCCTTCTTTGGAAGCTTTTAAACAGAGTCTGGATGGCCATCTGTCGGGGGTGATTTGAATGCAATATTCCTGCTTCTTGGCAGGGGGTTGGACTGGATGGCCCATGAGGTCTCTTCCAACTCTTTGATTCTATGATTCTATGAATCAGCACCCCGAATAATGAGACAGAATCTAAAGTTGACCAAAAATGGATTTGTAGCCCTTTTGTTACTAATATTGGAGAGTGGTCTGTGTTCAAAGTGGTCCCTGGTCAAAAAAAGGTTGGTAACCACTGGTCTGTGGCATATAAGTCATTCACCATATGTTTGAATATAGGGTTCAATCTGAAATCTTGCTCCCACCAAAATTAGCAAACCTTTTCCTTAATTAAGATTTTTGAGGTGGTAAAACATTCAGTCTATGCACGTTTACGTTGGACTCAAGCATGTAGTGTTTGAGATTAATTGTATGTGGTGATTCTCCAGGGTTGCCGTGGTGCATTCAACCAATCAAAGCTTAACTCATGTATCTTCAAGAAATTCCCTGTTGCCAGAGGAAAATAACTTCCCCTGTGGGAGGGAATGGCACCATCTGGCTCTGTTTTCAACCAAGTCATTCAAGATGTATGTATGAATCAAGCATTGCCCAGCTGGAATTGCAGTCATTCAGCCTAAGCCTTGTTCCTTGGGAAGAGCAGAATTCAGGAATTCAGGGAAGCATAAGAGTTCTGGGCTGGCCTCGCACTGACCTGTCTGTGTATTTCCTTGGCTCTCTGTGAGTGTAGAAATCCAAGTGAGAAACGACAGTGGACGTTGAAAATGTGTGAAGGAGCAATTTCTTATGTAGTTAAAATATTTATATCCACATATTGACTACGGTTTTCAGAAGCTTTCCCATGAGCCCAAAGTGTATCCGTAGATACAAAAGCCATTCTACTGAGTGTGGTGCAAAGACCTGAAAATATTTGACATGCTTTTTGAGATGTTCTTCAAAATGTTCATGTTCACATGAGAGTACTTTGAGTATTGTACGTCAAAAGAAAACTACAATAGGAACATGGTGCTCACAGAAAAGAGCGGGTAATCATATTAACATGGATTTGGATGTTAGACACTAGGTATCATGGTTCACAGTAAGTAAAAGCAATTTAAAGACTCAGATATAATACTGACAGATACAGTGTAGTGATTTTCAAATGCCAGTCTAATTTTGTGTGTTGTTGAAGGCTTTCATGGCTGGAATCACGAGGCTGCTGTGAGTTTTTCAGGCTGTATGGCCATGGGTTGTTGTAGGGTTTTTGTTGGGCTATATGGCCATGTTCTAGAGGCATTTTCTCCTGATGTTTCGCCTGCATCTACGGCAAGCATCCTCAGAGGTAGTGAGGTCTGATCTCACTACCTCTGAGGATGCTTGCCATAGATGCAGGCAAAATGTCAGGAGAGAATGCCTCTAGAACAGGGGTCCTCAAACTAAGGCCCAGGGGCCAGATACGGCCCTCCAAGGTCATTTACCCGGCCCTCACTCAGGGTCAACGTAAGTCTGAAATGACTTGAAGGCACACAACAACAACAACAACAACAATCCTATCTCATCAGCCAAAACCAGGCCCACACTTCCCATTGAAATACTAATATGTTTATATTTGTTAAAATTGTTCTTCATTTTAATTATTGTATTGTTTTTAAGTGTTTTTTGCACTACAAATAATATATGTGCATTGTGCATAGGAATTCATTCATGTTTTTTTTCATATTATAATCCGGTATAAGCCTAGTTTTTCAGCCCTTTTTTAGGCTGAAAAAGTCCCCCTCAGCTTATACTCGAGTCAAGGTTATTTATTGTTTTACTGGAGCCCCCGGTGGCGCAGTGGGTTAAACCCCTGTGCCGGCAGGACTGAAGACCGACAGGTCGCAGGTTCGAATCTGGGGAAAGGAGGATGAGCTCCCTCTATCAGCTCCAGCTCCTCATGCGGGGACATGAGAGAAGCCTCCCACAAGGATGATAAAAACATCAAATCATCCAGGCATCCCCTGGGCAATGTCCTTGCAGACGGCCAGTTCTCTCACACCAGGAGTCACTCCTGACACGACAAAAAAAATTGTTTTATTCTATTATTATTATTATTATTATTATTATTATTTTCATTTTCATTTTCATTTCATTTATTATTTTATTGTATTTAATATTATTGCATTTATCATTTTACTCTATTATTATACATTTATTATTTTACTGTATATTGTTGTTATTGCTACATTCATTATTTTACTCTTTTTATTATTATTGTTATTCCATTTATTATGTTACTCTATTATTATTGGAAGGATATGTAAGCACATTTACACTGAAGAAGGTAAATACTCATTTAATCAGAGTTGGACAGTCTTATCTTAAATTACCATTTTTGTAAATATTCAAAAATATATAACCTACAGATTCCTCAATTAATGTAATTTAATTGGTATCTATTTTTATTTTCCAATTTACGCATAGTGGCTGCATTTCCCACCCTTGGCTTATACTTGAGTCAATCCGTTTTATCTGTTTTTTGTGCTAAAATTAGGTGCCTCGGCTTATACTCGGGTCGGCTTATACTCCAGTATATACGGTATAATCCAGCCCTCCAAATTATAATCCGGCCCTCCAACAGTTTGAGGGACTGTGACCTGGCCCTCTGTTTAAAAAGTTTGAGGACCCCTACATGACCATATAGTCTGAAAAAACCTACAACACAGTGATTCCGGCCATGAAAACCTTCGACAATACATGTATGGCCATGTTCCAGTAGCATTCTCTCCTGACATTTCACCCACATCTAAGGCTGGCATCCACAGATACAGGCAAAACGTCAGAAGAGAATCATGGCCATACAGCCCAAAAAACTCACAACAATCCAGTTTGATTTTGGATTTTACTTGAAAAATATGAAAACGGGTTTAAAATTGCTGCATGTATGATTGTGAATAAAACATGTTGTGACTAACACCGTCAAGTAGGACTAGCGCATGTAATGTTACCTCATTTGCTTTTGGGAATTGAAATGCTTTCTGTTAACACTTTTTTCTGCACATCATCAGTTTGCTTTTGACTCATATTCCTCCTATTGTCGCTGTAAGCTTACTTGTTGTTTTTCTTTCTTTTTCTTCATGCTGTCGTTTAGAGCCCTACAGAGAGACAAGTATGGGAGTAAAGCTAAACATTGCATATCAAATGTAATTTTTTTCAGTTCACTTTTTAATGCATCATATATCAATGATGTAGATATATTTAAAAACAGTTCATTTCTTACAATGCAGAAAACAAGAATTATAAGCCATTTTTATAAATATTAATAGAAATTAGATAAGTCTATTTTGTCTCTTTTCATTTTGCCTTTCATCCAATCTGTTTTAATTTTGTGTAACTGTGTATGGTAATGAAATTTATTTTTTTGTTTAAAAATCTTTGCAAAATCATACTGTTTTCTCCTGTTGCTGTGGTACATTTCATGGGAGCTATGCTTCATTTTCAATGCAAGGCAACCCTTTATTATCCTAAATTAGTTGCTGTTGTTGTTGGAATAATTAACAACAACAGGAACATCCTGATGATAATAATTCTATGAAAGAGTAAAAGAAAGAAGGAAAAAAAAGCAGAAGTGATTTGTGTATAGATATAACCACAAAATAACACACACATATCTATTGTTATATTCCTTTAGGTTGTTGTTGGAGATTTATACCATGAAAATAAATGGCTTCATTCTACATCTGTGATGGCTGTTTTTATCCCTATTTTTCTGCCTGTCTAAAACACAGATTAATTCCAGAAAGTACTAAAATGTCAAGTAAGAATGACATTTTGGGGACAAATCAGCTGTAATAAATCACAAATTCTGCATGCAGTGGCACTTCTCAGTCCTAAGATGACATGCTGCTTATACTGCCTCACATATGCAGACTGAAATCAGTTTTCAGAAAATACACACACAGTGTTTACATTGTTTATTTCCTGATGTTTGTTCCGATGCTCAACTACAAATGCTCATCAGGTTGCTCTCCTAATCCAAGAGCGTTGTTTCAGCCTTGTCAGCTACCTCTGACAACATGAAAGAATATATGGAAGCCTTAATCGTGTTTCATGTTTTCTGTGTGTCTAAAGGATGGCAATATGCAAAAAGAAACGCAGGTGGATCAAGCCCATTTGAAGACAGACAGTTGCCTCCAATAGAGAATCTTACTTAGGGAGCTCCTGTGATCTTTCAACCCTGAGTATTCAAGATGTGCAGAGTGTTGCAATCGGCACTAAGCCCTATGACGACAGAACTGAACAGGAACAGGGGCAAAATACCTTTAGTGGGTTCAGAAAACACTACACTTGGGTTTGGGGTGCCATAGAACAGGGCCTTATGTTAATTTTCAAGGGGAAAATGTCTTGCTTGTGCTTGTGCACAAAGTAACCTATTTACATCTTTAAGATGGTTGCTTAAGAAATAGGCATGTGCAACCATGGTTCTGAAGTACTTACAAAACTAAAGTTCTGGTGGTGAAAACTAGGGGGCGCTGGTGCTTTGCTTCTACAGTGTTGATAAAGCAGTGTTTCTCAACCTGGGGGTCAGGACCCCTGTGGGGGTCGCGAGAGGGTGTCAGTGGGGTCGCCAAAACCATCTGAAAACAAGTATTTTCATCGAATCATAGAATCAAAGAGTTGGAAGAGACCTCATGGGCCATCCAGTCCAACCCCCTGCCAAGAAGCAGGAAAATTGCATTCAAATCACCCCTGACAGATGGCCATCCAGCCTCTGCTTAAAGGCTTCCAAAGAAGGAGCCTCCACCACACTCCGGGGCAGAGAGTTCCACTGCTGAACGGCTCTCACAGTCAGGAAGTTCTTCCTCATGTTCAGATGGAATCTCCTCTCTTGTAGTTTGAAGCCATTGTTCCGCGTCCTAGTCTCCAGGGAAGCAGAAAACAAGCTTGCTCCCTCCTCCCTGTGGCTTCCTCTCACATATTTATACATGGCTATCATATCCCCTCTCAGCCTTCTGTTGGTCATGGGGGTTCTGTGTGGGAATTTTGGTCCAATTCTATCATTGGTGAGGTTCAGAATGCTATTTCATTGTGGGTGAACTATAAATCCCAGCAACTACAACTCCCAAATGCTGAGGTCTATTTCCCCAAACTCCACCAGTGTTCACATTTGGGGATATTGAGAATTTGTGCCAAGTTTAGTCCAGATCCATCATTGTTTTAGTCCACAGTGCTCTCTGGATGTAAGTGAACTACAGCTCTAAAAATTCAAGGTCAATGTCCACCAGACCCTTCCAGTATTTCCTGTTGGTCATGGGAGTTCTGTGTGCGAAGTTTGGTTCAATTCCATCAGAACTTCAGAATACTCTTTGATTGTAGATGAACTATAAATCCCAGCAACTATAACTCCCAAATGACAAAATCATTCCCCCCAACCCCACCAGTATTCAAATTTGGGCGTATCAGGTATTTGGGCCATATTTGGTCCAATGAATGAAAATCCGTCCTGCATATCAGATATTTACAATATGATTAATAACATTAGCAAAATTACAGTAATGAAGTAGCAACGAAAATAATGTTATGGTTGGGGGTCACCACAACATGAGGAACTGTACTAAGGGGTCACGGCATTAGGAAGGTTGAGAACCACTGTGCTAAAGTTCTGGTGGTGAAAATTTCAGAACTCTAACAAAACTTTCAAAATTTCATTATTATTTCATTGTTGGTGATTTTTATGACAGAACCTATTAGGAACTGCCATTTATAATGAAATTTTGAAAGTTGTGTTAGAGTTCTGAAATTTTCACCACCAGAACTTTAGCAACACTGTAGAAGCAAAGCACCAGCGCCCCCTAGTTTTCACCACCAGAACTTTAGTTTTGTAAGTACTTTAGAACCATTTAGAACAGTGGTTCTCAACCTGTGGGTCCCCGGGTGTTTTGGCCTACAACTCCCAGAAATCCCAGCCAGTTTACCAGCGTTAGGATTTCTTGGAGTTGAAGGCCAAAACATCTGGGGACCCACAGGCTGAGAACCACTGATTTAGAACCATTGATTGCACGTGCCTATTAAGAAACATTTCTGCACTACTGAGCTTTAAGTCCAGTACAAAAGTTCCAGGTCTTAGTGGGAAAGAGGAGCAATTGCCATTATCCCCTTGAAAATATAAAAGACAAAATTGATAAGACAACAAAAAAAAAAAACAGAAGTTAAAGAAAAGTCTCATTTTTTAAAATTAAGATATACTACACCTGCCAGGCAAGTTTTAGTAATGTTTAAGGGCCCTTCTACACAGCCATATAACCCAGAATATCAAGGCAGAAAATCCCACAATATCTGCTTTGAACTGGATTACCTGAGTCCACACTGCCATATATTCCAGTTCAAAGCAGATTATGTGGGGTTTTATTCAGCTGTGTAGAAGGAGCCTAAGAGGACTTTTTAGTAATGTTTAAGGGCCCTTCTACACAGCCATATAGCCCAGAATATCAAGGCAGAAAATCCCACAATATCTGCTTTGAACTTCATTATCTGAGTCCACACTGCCATATATTCCAGTTCAAAGCAGATAATGTGGGATTTTATTCAGATGTGTGGAAGGGGCCTAAGAGTGATCAAGAATGTGAAGGTCCAACATGGCCTTCTGCATGTTGGACCTTCCACACAGCCCTATCTCCCAGAATATCAAGGCAGAAAATCTCACAATATGTGCTTTGAACTGGGTTATCTGAGTCCTCTACTTATTCCTGGGCCTCTTTAGTGCACATTACTGGTTTGGACTGCAACTCCCAGAAACCCCAAGGCGAGTTATTTGGGAGTTCTAAAGGTCCAGTGAGCTCTAGCCAAAACCAGTATTTTTTAAAGTTTTTATTGTTGATTGCCAGTCAAATGCTACATAATTTTAACCTTGGTTGGCACCATATTTTCCCCTTTGGTTATTTTGTTTTGTACTGTTTTTAGTGGGAGCTTGTCTAGGTAAGGATATTATCAGCCCCTAATACATGCAATCCAAAATGTATCCTTTCTGCCCTAACCACTGGTGACCAAAGATTTCTAGTGCCATCCAGAGAGGATCTTAATGGGCAGACATACCTCTGTGTCTACAAGGTATTTTATACCTCCCCCATCCCCACAGGCATCATCTCAGAAACTCTAAGATTGTATCCTTTCAATGCCATCCTTTGCATTTCTACTCAGAAGTAAGTCTCACCAAGTTCATAGAAGTTACTCTCAGGTAAGTATGCATAGGATTGCAGCCTATATGCATACAGTTAAGCAGGGTTGACTAACTGGCTCTTTGGGTTATTCATATTATAATAACCTTTTTGAGACTTTCGTAACAGAGGTGAGTTCATTTATATGGCACTTTTTAACAGTGGGCCACTCCCCAAATAGGCCATAATAGACACCAAATAAAGAACAAAATATAACATCATCTATATAAATAAAAATGTAATGTTCTAAAATTACAACTCTAAAATTACAACAGCAAAACAGCAGAGAGGAAACAACCAGGCACATCTTAACACCTCTCAACAGACCTTTTCCCAGGCTCAGCCAGGCCTTCAAATGCTAATGAAGGTGGTCAGCTGAAACATTCACACCTAGCTTCAGCAGAGAGCTCTTTGCCCCACCCCAGTCATTCCACAGATATATAAACCCATTTTCCTATTTCCAACAGACCTCACTACCTCTGAGGATGCTTGCCATAGATGCAGGCGAAACGTCAGGAGAAATGCCTCTAGAACATGGCCCTATAGCCCGAAAAAACCACAAGAACCTAGTGATTCCGGCCATGAAAGCCTTCGACAATACAATGTAATGTTGGTTTGTGGATTAACAGATCTCAAAAACCACTGGACAAAATGACACCAAATTCGTCAGCAAAACAAATTCTAATCCGATCTATGTTTTACAAACAAAAAAACCGTAAAAAAATGAAGGGGAAATACCTTAAAACTCCCCAAAAAGAAAAATGCCTTACAGAGCATGCGCGAAAGCCCCTCTCCCCATTGCACGAGAAGAGTGAAGCCCCAACCGTTGTGAGGGAAGAGAAGCCTTGCCATGGAGTACCTTTCCATGCGTGGGCCCTCCTTCCTTCCCTCCCTCCCAGTCTCCTTCCTCTCTTTGTCGGCCCCACCAAGCACAGACCGCTCCTCCTTCTTTTCT